CATTAAACTTTCAAAAATCTGGTTAATGCTAGAAAAGTATTGGAGTAGATTGAACAAACTTAAACAGTTCATAGACTTCAATAATCCAATATCAATTTTTGTTGTGCATGTGGTCAGTTTGATTCATACAGCCTACCAAGAATTATTGTGTCGGTGAGGTGTCTTCTTATTTGTAGTATCGATAGACTGTAGGGTAGGTTATCTTCACTTTGACCATAACATCACCTGATTTATCACTTCTACTCAATCAACGTGTATTTATTTTGCAGAGAATCTCTGTTTTATTTAATATTTTCACTTGACAGTGTTGTGCAACACAAACAAACAAAGCAATCATCATGTGGTGGTCGGCATTCGTGTATTAATCAAGTGAAATACTGAATCACATATGCAAAATAAATGTGAGAAAAAGAAACGAAACAAGCTAAAACTGAATGGTGAATGAACTCACCTTTATCCAAAAGCTCTACATTAGGTATTTCGGCGTCTATAGAATATTTAATTTGTCCCAGTAAACTGTTTGCGAATATCTGTGATCCAAATTGGTTCTCTTCATAAAAAAATGCAACATGATTGATAATTTTACATTGAATGAATAAAATGCTTTGGAAGTAAACTAAAAACTTATATGAATTTGATGAACTGTCTTTGGTTTGCTGTAAAGAATCACATTATTTTTACAATTTGATCAGGAGAAGATATTCAAAGAAGTTTTGAATCTCACAAGGAGCATAAAACTATTTCCTTATAGAAGTTCAATTAACTTCGATTCATGGAATGAAATATATCAAGAAGACTCAGAAACCATTTTAGTTCAATAAAAATTATTCACTTACTTCTGCTAAACTTCTCAATCTTAGAGACATCACTATCGTAAAATTTAAGCGAGGATTTCGGTGTAAGAGACTAAAATGATGTAAACATATGGATAAGTAACTCTACTACAAAATGAAGTCAACTCACTCCAAGGCGATCACTTAGATCAAAACTGCCATCCACAATCGGATGAGGTTGATCAAGACGAATCCTTTGTGAATATTGGTAATGAAGAGACTGTTGTGTGTATAAGAGTCTGACTAATTACTTACGTAATGATATGAATCGTTTTCAACAAGCATATTCTTATATTGCAACAATTCAAGTTCTTTACAGATATCTTGACATTCAAGGAATTTGTAAAGCAATACGATGATCGAATAAAGTAGTATAGATAGACTTGACGAAAACGTGAATCTAAAATGGTTGAGATGAAGAAAACAACAATATCTCATTGAATCAAATTTTAATTTCTATGATACAGTCAATAACGTCAAAAGCGTAATCAACAATTACCTCATCTTCTTATTCAAGGTAGTTAATAAAATTTAACCGGAAATTGTCCGGTTTATATAGACTTTTGAAGTGCTTGGTTGTTTCTTTCTGATTTGATGATTCAAATTAACCATTGAGAAGATCAAATTTTATAAAATCATATGTTTATTGTTAACCAATGAAGGAGATAGATGAAATGATCGTTATTCAATATTCTTCTAGCTATTGTAAACAAAGAGCTGATATTTATGCACTGTCGGTTAAAATTGATGACCTCCTTTGAAGAAACCTCACTTGGATGTAATTTACAATACATACAATACAGGTCATTGATTAACTTGTGGTTCAAAATGTTTGCTCGTGTGATTACAAATAAACAGTTTATTACTTGTTTTAGGCTGTCAAAAGACTGTGAACCATGCGTTATTTGGATTTGATTGTTTGAAATCAAAGTAACACAAACTGTTTTGATTGAATGTCGAAATTAAAGCGTCTTCACTTGAATTTTATTTCAATAAAAAAAACATTTTTTGTCAGTAGATTAAACCATCGTTGAATATGAAATTGTAACTTCTGAACAAAGCCACATCCATTCTATCTGACCATCATATATATTATACCACTGACTGTTAACACGTGTTCAGATCAACAGAGATAATATTTTTCATATTGATCACATAGAAATTAAAGTGATCTTTTTCCGTAAGATGAATTGAAGTTGTTAGTGATTGTATTCAAAGAAACACAATGCAATTCATTAAGAGTGAACTGTTGAAAATTGAGAACAAGTTGTTGAGTCAGACACAGTTTTGTGGTTACAATAGTGATTATTGTATCAAATGGTAACTAATAAACTTGTTAATTCACAAGAGAAAGACCGATTTTCATTAAGGAATTTCATCGAATTATTTCCACATAACACTTAGTCTTGTATTCATTGTTATCGGCGTTAAAATATACGAGTAAATCACTGTGAAAAGATAAAATCAAGTGTACACTTAATTTGCGTTAAACATCAAAGACTGATGAACGAATAAAAGTTGATTTCTTGTAACGAATTAATAAATTCAACATAACAAGTCTGCAATATTTTTTCCCAGGTAATAATTAAATCAATTTATCCCGTTCGATTTCAGATTGTTAATCTACTCAACCTATATCGGTACTTGTCAGTTTTTCTTCACTCTTTTCTCTTTTGTTATAAAAGAAACTTAGTGAAATATCTTGTGCTCAGTATTCTATAAAATATCAATCATATACTATTGAATAAAGGTGATGATCATAATAATATTGATAAATCATTGTCATAATTTCCCAAAGAAATTTCATGCGGAGAGCAGAAACGATGGTCATAAATTAAATGTTGAGCATTACCATTCTCAGATTCATCACTGTCTACTAAATACCATGCGGTTTTCCCTAAGAGTCATTTAAACAACATGATCAAACAAAAACAAACTTGTTGTAGTGAAGCTGAAAGGAAATGAGTTCGAAGGTGCTAAAATGTAACTTGCAGATTTGAGTGATCTGAGAAGGTAGAAAAGTTTACTCCATTTTCCATACTCAAGAGTTGAAAAAGCATGCACTGATTAAACAATAGATGATAAACTAAATGCAATTCAACAAACAATTTCAGAGGATGGCATTCAACCCATCATGATTATTTATGGTAATTTGAAACCGGGATAACAAGTTGAAAAATTTCACACAGCTTCAACGAATTTTCAACTCTTGAATATCAAACTCAAGGATGAATTGCATCTGGGATTTATAGAATACATTAACCACATCAATCAAAAGCGCATTATAATCTGCAGTTTTTGAACTATTTACTTCAACAAGAAAAGCATTCGCGGAAAATTAAAGGGTCGACGGATAAATCGAACCGCCTAAATGTTCATCGACGATCATAAGCGCAACAGGTAAAAATAGTGATAAGATAAATATACTTGCTTAAATTCATGCCTATTGACAGTCTTAATTTATGACATGAAGGCAGATAGTAATGACAAATTACAGTTCCATATACAATAACAAGGATTGTTCGATAAATCATGACCATAATGCATTCGACAGCAAGAAAGTAAGGTTGAAGTGATTTAGAAGATAAAATTTTCAAACATGAACACATTATACTCTATGATTTGTATTATTTTCGACATTAACACAACATTTCCTTCTTTCGTCTACTCAAAAATGTTCACACTGAGCACTGTCAATTGACGATTCAGTAAGGAATATAAATGGTTGAATATTACTTAGAATGATCACATCTACTATTTGAGTTCTTTGCATCTAATATGCGTTTCCGCATAACAAATATTTTTCTAAAAACAATGATAATGATGATGATCATAATAGTTTACACGACCCGAAAGTGTGATTTTGGAGAAAAAAACATCAGTCTGTTGACCTGAGTTGTTGTTTGTAGAAGTGTTAATGGTTTCAACTTTCTTCTTCTTTATCATCACATTCTATCTAAATAATCAAATATAATGGCTTTCACTTTTCTTTAATGAGCCTGATATAAAACTGAAATAGAATAAGGAATGTCGCTCACTAATGATACACCCACGTATACGGAATAAATATGAATGAAATTTTCATTTTACAAAAGACTACTACTTTTCTATAGAGAAACTGAAGTGAAAGCCAACAGATTTGATGTGGATTCATAGATTGTCTTACTTTAGCTATGCATAAACTCTGTAATCATTTACCACCTTATTTCAAATGAGTTCACTGAAAGTCTTCTTATAGTATTTTCTATTTATGGCGTTTCAATTTCATCAATCCATGGGACTATGAACGATCATTCCGATGCTTTTAGACTCCATTAGTTAATGCGTCACACTTTTATTGACTATGTCACTGTGATCAATATTCCGGATAATTACACTGGACTATTTGCCAACTGTGTATTTGTGTTGAATATTGATTGTAGCTGGATATTGTGGTAAGGTGTGAGCGATCACATTTTGCAGGAGATTAAATGCATTTCGAAATGCCATTCGGTTTTGACATTCATCTTGATTTTGCAACAGAGTTCAAATGAATTGTTACGTAAGGAAGCATTTGTAGGTGAATATATAAATAGCCTGTCGTCTATGTTTGTGTTTATAATCCCAAATTTGTCTATTTAGTTGACGTTGCTGCGGAGTTATCTTGATTGATTTAAATCCTGTTCGGTGTTTTTATAGTCTGTAGATAAAATTTCGCAAAGCCAGTTTTCATGACGATTGGTATAGATCAGTGATGTGTATCCCCACTTCTAAAGAAACCATTACTCCTCACGTGATACAAACTCAAGTTTGCACAAAGCGAATTAACTACTAACTTACCCGTTGATCTGACATCAAATTGAGAGTTCTAAGCTGTTAGGTTTGAAGCTTCACGGGTTCACTTAGACTGCGAACGAGAACAATACTCAGTGACCAAAGACCCCTAATCTAATTATTGACGCGTCCCAGCCCCGCTATCTAGAAGGAGAAGTCCAGGCTTGGTATGGAAAATATATTCTGCATGCAACCAGAAACGAGCGAGCAAGCAAGCAAGCAGCAGCGAACACTCAGACACAAATTAAACGTATATATATATATATATATATATATATATATATATATATATATATATATATATATATATATATATATATATATATATATATATAAAATCGATATTGTCATATTAAATGTTATTTTTAAACATGACTCATTCAGTTCATCACTCGACAGGCATTCGAATATTTAGTCGATAAGTTCATCATGTGACTTCCTTCCAAATATTTAATCGATGAGTCAATCGATATGATAAAATTACAAATATGAATTTTGGGAATATACCGTCCCAACACTCCTCCCCTTTTTAATAGCGCGCTTTTCTGGGGTCGACTTGCATTTTGACTGTAGTTCGCCGCTGACGGAGAGGCCACCTTCTGGGACGGGGATCAGCTTGCTGTTGAGCTTCTTGTGGTGGGGCTGCAGGTAAGTTGAAAGTATCAAGCAAGATGTCGAGGGGAAGATTTACTGCATTTGATGGGTGGTCTGGGGCAATCCGCTTACGTAGTTGGTTTCGGTGTCTAGTCCACGTGTCTCTTCCCACCTTTACTTCGTACATAACTTGACCTAGTCTTCCAATCACACGTGCTTCGATCCAAGGACCATGATTTGCTCTGTAGTCTCGAGCGAACACGGGGCATCCAACTTCGTACGCTGGAAGCTTCTGAGATTTGGTATGAGATGGTGTGGATCTTGGGCACATGAGACTGTGGATCGTCCTCAATTTCCTTCCCATCAGGATCTCTGCCGGGGACTTCTGCTGTGTTAGCATATCACTAGGTGTTGTTCGGTAAACAAACAAGAAATTCTGTAGTGTTTCTACTGTCGTCCCCTCCCCTTTCGACTTCATTAGAGCTCTCTTGAATGTATCTACAAATCTTTCTGCTTGTCCATTTGACTGTGGGTGATAAGGTGGAGAGCGGAAATGCTTGATCGATAGGCGTTCGCAAAATTCTTGAAATTGACTTGAGGTGAATTGCGAACCATTATCGGAAACGATTATATCCGGTAATCCGTTGCGAGAGAACATCTCTGTCAAAAGTTGTATCGTTTGAGTTGTCGTTGGTGGCATGACGGGAACGATTTCTGGCCATTTCGAGAAGGCGTCAACAACGACTAGATAGGTGATTCCATTAATTGGGCCTGCGAAATCGACATGTATCCTGGACCAGGGATACTTAGGCTGTGGCCATGGGACCGGCAGTAATTTCGCGTTACACTTGGCTGCTTGCTGACACTGTGCGCGGTCCTCTGTCAATGGGGAGGCAATAACTGCATCTTCGCCGGCCGTATGATGTTCGCTGGTCGAAAACTCCGTCATTAGTTCTTTCGAATATGCTTCAGGTTCATGAGGTTGTTCAACCAGATGGCATACGGTGCTTAACGGAACGTCAGCTAAATGTAGCCGGTCATACCAGTCTAACCCAAGTAGATTAAGATCAGCTGGTGTAATGTAACATAACCCGGTAAACGTCGAATCATGAAAAGACACTGTACAACCTAGTTGTCCCAACAAACGTAGATAATTACCACATGCGTTTCGCGGTTTTTGTGTTGTCGGCACCAGGCGTGGTCTTCCCATTCTGATCCAAGATTTTCGTCAGAGAATCGTTACATCAGATGCAGTGTCTATTTGCAATCTAAGAGGGTGCCCATTAATATTAAGGGTAATAAATTTCCTCTCAACTGAGGTTGAGTTCTCACAGCTTGCTATTAGACTCAACGAATTCGTGTTGGATCTAGGCGTAGGTTTTCTGGTACCTCTGGAGTTGCTCGGCTTCTTTTTTCGACAAAAACCATCTTTATGACCCACCACATTACATTTCCTGCACCGATGTTGCTTATATGGACAGTATCGAACAAAATGCCATGCACCGCAGTGCCAGCATGGAGCAGGAGGATTTATTTTTGTCTGTCGACCTGAACTAGATGTAGCTGGGGCAGATTTATGCGAGTTGAGTGGTTGTTGGACTACATGAACTTCGGTACGATTTGAACCACCACGCTGGACCATTGTAGTATCACGCTGTAGATTGATTAGACGTTGATATTCATTTGCAATATCATTAAGAGTTAGTTTTGGGTCTTGGTCCAATCGACTTAGCAAACGTGTTCTAATGTCATTGAACTTCTGCGATTGAAGGCTGCAGATGAGAATGAGTGCTTTAAATTGATCTTCAGTAAGCGACTTCAATCGGAAACGTTCACATTCTCGGTTGACAATACCCACATGTGTGAGAAAATCATCATCTTCGTTCATAGTGAGCTTCAAACATCGATAGCGCGCATTGAATAGTGAGGAGTTGTCTCCGAATTGTTGGCTCAATGACTGGACAGTGTCGGAGAATGAACGATCGCGTGGGTTTAAAGGCAGGATTAGATTGCAATACTTGTCTAGTTCACTAGGACCCAACTTTCGAAGCAGCAAGCGGACCTTCCAAGCATCATCCTGGTTGGCAAAGTCAAATTTGAATAAGTCTTCGTAACGTCGAAACCACATATCAAACGTGACATTGGATTCTGGATCGTAATGAAACTCGGAGATACTGTTAGCAATACCATCAACTGATGGTGCAGTAGTAGTAGGATTAGAACTGCTTGGATGAGAATTAGACGTAAGCTTTGCATCTGCTAACATTTGAATAAGTTTCATCTGCTGCTCGAGTAATAAGTCAAGTTTAGATGGATCCATATTTCCGTAATCACCGTCGCCAAATTGTTAGGTTTGAAGCTTCACGGGTTCACTTAGACTGCGAACGAGAACAATACTCAGTGACCAAAGACCAGTAATCTAATTATTGACGCGTCCCAGCCCCGCTATCTAGAAGGAGAAGTCCAGGCTTGGTATGGAAAATATATTCTGCATGCAACCAGAAACGAGCGAGCAAGCAAGCAAGCAGCAGCGAACACTCAGACACAAATTAAACGTATATATATATATATATATATATATAAAATCGATATTGTCATATTAAATGTTATTTTTAAACATGACTCATTCAGTTCATCACTCGACAGGCATTCGAATATTTAGTCGATAAGTTCATCATGTGACTTCCTTCCAAATATTTAATCGATGAGTCAATCGATATGATAAAATTACAAATATGAATTTTGGGAATATACCGTCCCAACATAAGCATACTTGATCATTTTTCCAAGATCACCCTACAGAAGGTAACTGGTGAAATTCGTCCTAATTTACAATACATTCATTTGTTGATATTGCCTTACCGTGGATAACTAACTCTCAAATATTTACCATTCAATTCTTTCTTCCGTGACATAAATTATTTCACTATAATAGATAAATTTATCGTTACCTGATATTGTGGATTAATACATCCTAATGCTGACCAAGTGTCAGTGTTTACTGAATATTGATTAAGGTGTACATTCCAGTGGAATAAATTTGTACAAAGAGAAGAAAGTAAAAGGACATGAATAATTCAAATGATTAGAATTTAGGGAACACAAAGAGTGGATGCACAGAAGCCATTGCAAACGATTTGGAGCTGTCATTCAGGGTCTCTTACCATCGAGTGCTTTCATCTCGCGGTCTCTAACCAGGTAGTCTACACCTACCAACATGGCTTCGTACGCTTGTCAGTGACTTTACGTATTTGTGCTATGCTTGGGTGTGACCGCCCCACAGATTTCTTCCAACCTACTCAAGTGCCATTGAACATTTCACATCGGAGCAGTCAGTTTCTGTGCATACGTAACACGTGTTCTAGCCATCTCAACTGTGGAAGTTAATCACTTCATCAAATGATTTACCATCCTCACGTAGTGATCGTTTCCTAACAATTGCATTACTTACTCGGTGGTCCTAGGATATACGAGCAATGTTTCTAAGACACTAATGATCAAATACCAGTAACCTACGAATATACTCTACTCTTAGCTTGACTACCATTGGGTAGGACCATGAAAGACTGCCTTGCAGCTTCTTTCCTACATCCAGTAAGACGCAGACAAGTACGCGCTCGCACCAGAGCATAATCTGAATCTGAGAATGTGTTCTACAATGAGCGACAGTCTTCTAAAGACCCCCTTCACCGGTGAGTCTATTTGTGTCAAACGTTGGGACGAATTCGGGTGTCGCCATCTCAAAAGGTGTTTTTCCTTATGCTTAAAGTTAGAATTTGCAAGAAACAGGCATTTATCTGAGCATAGCTACAACAGACGGTTGCCATTATCTGTTATTTAAGCCACGACACTAAATGTCAACTAAGGTGTTTTTCTTTTTCGCTTCGTTTACCTACATGTGAATTATAAGCATCAGCCTCTATTACTACACCAGAGCGAGAAACCTTTCGGAGAAGTTCAAAAAGCTTTCTGTAAAATTCATCTTTCGCATCATCTGAGACTCAGTCCGTGTCTGAATAGGCAGAGACGACGAAGAGACACCGACGAGTGTCCCCACCTTTCCGAGTCCTTACTGTTCCGTTTAGTTGGACAGCGCACAAACGACTGTCTAGTGAGATCCAGTCTAAGTGAACTAGTTTTCCTCTAGGATTCAATGCTATACCTACACTGGTGAAGACAAGAGAACCAGCATCTCAGCTTCCAGATACACGAAGCTTGAGTCGAAATAGTTCATTATTTTGACATACTGAGGTCAAACGAACAATGCCATTCGGATCCTGTATGGTCGTTTTGTAGACGCAGAGCACATGGATGACGCGAGATTCTCAAGTCCTAGCTAAGGGAGCTTGCAGTCCTATTTGGCACAGTGTTCGAACATTAAATTCTCCTACATGTAGTTTAGCGTGGTTGAGAAAAGAATTAGTCGTGGAGATGAAAGAGTTGTTGGCAGTTGTAAGAAGGATATGATCTTGACCAACATGTCATCGTGTTCTGATGTCACTTTCCGGCTGCCTACTTCTCTAATTTACTCGAGGCCATAATGCATTCGACAGCAAGAAAGTAAGGTTGACGTGATTTGGAAGATCAAATTTTCAAACATGAACACATTATACTCTATGATTTGTATTATTTTCGACATTAACACAACATTTTCTTCTTCCGTCTACTCAAAAATGTTCACACTGAGCACTGTCAATTGACGATTCAGTAAGGAATATAAATGGTTGAATATTACTTAGAATGATCACATCTACTATTTGAGTTCTTTGCATCTAATATGCGTTTCCGCATAACAAATATTTTTTCTAAAAACAATGATAATGATGATGATCATAATAGTTTACACGACCCGAAAGTGTGATTTTGGAGAAAAAAAACATCAGTTTGTTGACGTGAGTTGTTGTTTGTAGAAGTGTTAATGGTTTCAACTTTCTTCTTCTTTATCATCACATTCTATCTAAATAATCAAATATAATGGCTTTCACTTTTCTTTAATGAGCCTGATATAAAACTGAAATAGAATAAGGAATGTCGCTCACTAATGATACACCCACGTATACAGAATAAATATGAATGAAATTTTCATTTTACAAAAGACTACTACTTTTCTATAGAGAAACTGAAGTGAAAGCCAACAGATTTGATGTGGATTCATAGATTGTCTTACTTTAGCTATGCATAAACTCTGTAATCATTTACCACCTTATTTCAAATGAGTTCACTGAAAGTCTTCTTATAGTATTTTCTATTTATGGCGTTTCAATTTCATCAATCCATGGGACTATGAACGATCATTCCGATGCTTTTAGACTCCATTAGTTAATGCGTCACACTTTTATTGACTATGTCACTGTGATCAATATTCCGGATAATTACACTGGACTATTTGCCTACTGTGTATCTCAGCATGTTTTACCCGTAATTTTGAGGGAACTGGTGCTCCCTGACGGATTCCATCCTGTGTCCCTCAGCTTCATCGTCAGAGACGTTACTGTTAATCTCTCCGGACCGCGACGAATGTATAGTATAAGTAAATGATTTTATCGAAAGTAAACATTTATTCAATTAATTCTGCTAATTTTTATTCAATGATGCATTGGGTTGTTTTAATTTTTGTTTAATAATTAAATAGTTTATTCCGTGAATCATTCAATGCTAGATCATTCTGGAAATCCTGGAGGCACTCGATAAACGTTTCAAATGATCTTGTTCAATACCTTTATGGTGTGTGCTACTTATATTGACATAAGTACTATATAACACGAGTCAGAAATGTAATGTCTGGCAGCAGAAGATTGGGAAGATCAAGAAAGTTAAGAGGCAAGTCTTCAACATTTGATACACATCGCATTGGTTTTAATGAACAGATCTAGCTGGTCACGTTCAGCCACTCATCCGAATCAGATCACGAGTAATTATGCTGTAGTATGCACTTTCTACAATTTTCTTCTAGATATATTTGTAGACACACCACAGTGATAGTACACATTTTGGTACTGAGAATTCATTGTTGTAGTAAACCATAGAGTATTGCATAAAACAAGCGACACTTTTATTACCATGATGATTATGTTGGGGACGTTAGATCCCCAGAACTCACTTGAGAAAGGACCTACTTTTGTCATTTTATTTAGAAAATTTGGATTTCTTTGTTTTCGCGCCAAAGGCATGTCGTATTTCCAAAAGGCAGATATCTTAAATGCTATTGGTTCGTTGCTTCTTTTAGTATATATATATATGTTTTGGATTGGGTTTGTTGTTATCGCTCGTTTCTTGCAGTTTGCAGAATATACTTCCCCATTTCAAGCTTGGACTTCTCTCTCTAGTTAGCGGGCCTGAGGCGCCTAGTTTACTAGTTTACTGGTCTTTGGTCAGTGAGTCTTGTTTCTCGTTCGCAGATTGAATGAACTCGTGATAACTTCAACCCTAGCACATTATTACTATTCAAATTCTTGATATTAGTTACTTGTGAAATAATTG